CACAGGAAGTGGACCTGGTCGAGCCCCGACGGTTCGACAAAAAATGAGATTGACTTCATTATGACGACCAGACGACAACTGTTCAGTGATATCTCAGTGATCGCTAGGGTGAAAACCGGCAGCGATCACCGAATGGTTAGAGGCACACTGAACCTAAACGTTAAGTTGGAGAGGTCTCGTCTAATGAAGTCAACGCTCCGTCCCCCTCGTGCTCTAATCCAAGGTCCCGAAACCTTTCAGCTCGAGTTACAAAACCGTTTTCAGTGCCTAGAAGACTGCAATGAAGTGAACGATTTGAATTACAAGCTCGTGGAAACTGTCCATGCGGTCGGAGCTAAGTTCTGCAAGACCCGCCGCAGAAGAACACAAAAACTCTCCGATCACACTCTTAATCTCATGGCTGTTAGACGGGAGATGAAGCTACATTCTTCAACAGATTTAACAGCATACAGGCAACTGAACAGACAGATCTCCAAATGCATGCGGCGGGACTTACGCAAATTCAATACAGCTCGTATTGAAGAAGCGATCGAGCAGAACCAAGGCTCCAAAGTCTTTGCCAGAGATCTGTCTGCCAGAAAGCGCCAACTGTCAAAGCTGAAGACAGAATGTGGCAGCATCGTTTCCGGGGCACCTGAGATTTTGAGTGAGATTGAGAGGTTCTATGGGCAGCTGTACACGTCATCGTTGGAGCCGCACGCAAGTGTGAGTAACGATCCAAGAGCGAGTCTTATCCGACATTATTCCGATGATATCCCGGACGTCAGTCTGAGCGAGATTAGAATGGCTCTCCAGCACCTTAAAAACGGCAAGGCCCCAGGCGAGGATGGAATTACAGCGGAGCTTCTGAAAGCGGGTGGAAAACCGGTACTTGAAGTCCTTCAGAAGCTCTTTAATTCCGTCCTCCATGGTGGCATTACACCGAAGGCGTGGAGCAGAAGTGCGGTGGTCTTGTTCTTCAAGAAAGGCGACAACGCTCTCTTGAAGAACTACAGACAGATTTCCCTTCTGAGCCGCGTCTACGTGCTGTTTTCGAGAGTCATTACGAATCATCTCGCGCGCAGACTTGACGACTTCCAGCCTCCCGAACAAGCCGGTTTCCGAAAGGGCTTTAGCACCATAGACCACATACATACCCTTCGGCAAATTGTGCAGAAGTCCGAGGAGTACAATTTGCCACTATGTCTGGCGTATGTGGACTATGAGAAAGCCTTTGATTCCGTCAAAATTTGGGCGGTGCTGCAGTCCCTTCAGCGATGCCAAGTTGACTGTCGGTATATCGAAGTATTGAAGTGCTTGTACAGTAGGGCTACGATGGCTATCCGAGTACAGAACCAGAGTACGAAACCTATCCAATTGCAGAGAGGTGTAAGACAGGGTGACGTCATATCCCCGAAACTCTTTACCGCTGCATTGGAAGATGTTTTCAAGCTTCTGGACTGGAAAGGATACGGTATCAACATCAATGGCGAGTACATCACTCACCTTCGATTTGCCGACGATATAGTCTTTATGGCAGAATCGCTGGAGGACCTAAGCACTATGCTCAATGACCTCAATAGTGTTTCCCAACGGATAGGTCTTAAGATGAACATGGACAAAACAAAGATCATGTTTAATGTCCATGTCACACCTATGCCGGTTGTTGTTGGGAACACTAAGCTCGAAGTTGTTGACGAGTATGTTTACCTGGGACAAATAGTCCGACTAGGTAAGTCCAACTTCGACCGAGAGGTCAATCGACGGATTCAACTCGGTTGGGCAGCGTTCGGGAAATTACGGCACATCTTCTCGTCAGGTATACCTCAAAACTTGAAAACGAGACTGTACACCCAGTGCGTGTTGCCAGTGATGACATACGGAACTGAGACGTGGTCCTTCACTGCTGGCCGGATGAGGTAGCTCAAGGTCGCTCAGCGAGCAGCGAGCTATGGAGAGGGCTATGCTCGGAGTTTCTCTGCGTGATAAACTCAGAAATGAGGATATCCGCAGTAGAACTAGAGTGATCGACATAGCCCAACGGTGTGCCTAGTGCGAGTTCCACAAAATAATTCGAATGACTTCACCATCGCGTTAACCGAGTTAACGTCATACCTATCGACAAGTGAAGACAAGCGAGTGTGTGTTACAATCGAAGCTAACCTTTCGATTCGCGTTTACTCACCGTGAATCGCGTTAGTTCCTTCTCTTATGTTGGTAACACGTGAGCATCGTGAAATAAACTAACCAAGTTTAGGATGACATATTTACTTAGTCGTCTTAATATTAGAAGCTGTCTATCAAAGTTGTGGTTATTATAGCATCTTTCATATACTTTGACTGTTTGTTTGTTGTGAACTTACGATTTATTTATTAATTGAAATTATTAAATTATACTAATAATTATAAGTAAAAAAATATGAAGACTAGTTCGTCCCAATTCGCTTTGATGGTGACATATATGGAGCAGTAAGTTGAATTTAATTTATTTAGTGTTTAGGGAACATATTAATATGTTGTTGTATATGTTATAACAACTAAGTTTATTGGTTTTAGGCATGGAGATCTCAGCAAACCATCGAATAATGCTAGAGGTAGGATGGCTTGTATAAAAAACTGGGAGGAGTTAGGTCAAATTTTGAATAGTGATGGTAGTGGTGATACAAAAAGTACTGAGAAATGGAAAAAGGTAGATAACTCTTTATTGCATTTATACAAAGTGTTACAATTACGGAATAACTTAAGAACTACAAACGGTGGTCATATCGCTTTAAGCGATTTCTACCTGACAAACCGAACGTAATAGGGAACAATGTAATATATTTTGACGGATAGGTGCAACGTGCAATATAAAATGAAACTGAGGACAAAAACTTATAATTAAACACGATTTATATAAATATATGAATTATATAATATTATAAAATTAATAAACATAAATAAATAAATATATACATATATACATACATATAGATAAACACACACATATATATATATATATATACGGTACGTCTAAATGATTATTTATTTTTACCTATTTTGGTTTAAACTGGGTTGTGGTTCTCTAATTTTGTGAAACATTTGCTTCTCTGCTCGCTTTAAGGTTTGGAGTGATTATAAAAATAATATTAAAAAAAAGGCTGCTCGTCTACATAAAGCAGCTAGAGGTACTGGTGGTGGGCCTGCTACACATGTCAAATTAACAGACTTAGAACAAAGAGTCCTAAATTTGATTGGTTTACAAGTAGCTACGGGCTTGGCAGTTGAAGAGGCTGGGCTGTCAAAGGTTACAACTTTAACTTAAATTAAACCACCTGCTAGTAGGTTATATATCTCATAAATTGTATTTTCTTTCAGGGGACTTATGTTCAGGCTAATCCCTCAGTGAACCTTGAACAAGGAATACCAACTCCACAACCACCTCAATCAGTAGAATGTAAGTAGCATATTATTAACAAATGATTAAGAGTACATATTATATTATATTAACAATGTTTTTTTTAAATTTTAGGTACTTCAAAACCGGCTCAGGAAAATATTTCCCCACAACTGCCACCAACACTGCCGAGGGCTATATCTTCACCATCTCTTGCCTTTGCAGAGGAAGTTCAAAGTAATATATAACTTACTTATTAGACAGTATAAAATCTTCAAGCTAGTACTGAGTTTGTTCTGGGAATCAAACCCAAAAATTCTTGCTTGGCAGCAGCCCATTGAACCACTAAACCAATTATTGTGTGTGTGTGTTTTCTTTCTCTGAATAAATTAAAAGTAATAAAATATACATGAGCCACTCAATGTACACTCAAGTGGTTAAATATGAATAAATCTTACTTTTAGATAAAAATTAATTAATTTTATAAATTTAAAAGCTAACTTGTCTGTCTTTTTGTTTATTGTACACAACTACTATATTGATTTTGTTGCAAATTTCATTTATATTTTTCATATTTTAGGTTCTCAGCCATGGAACGACCCAGGGCCATCAACACAACCTCATGTTGCCCCAGCAAATACTGTGACATCTCCGGTTATTTCATTTGTGGAGGTACAAATGGAAAGTAAGATAGAACTTTAATTATTCATGAAGGTGATAATTTTAAATAAATTTGATAACATATTAACATTACAGAAATTATTACAGATACGGGCACACTCTCTCCAACTATGCTCTCATCTCAAGTCCAAGATAGTCAACCAGGGCCTGCTTTGTCGGGGCAAACTACACCTTGCCGTGCAAGACCAATTCGTACTCGAAGATCACCTCGAAGACGAGTGAGGCCAGCACGACAGTTTCTCCAAGCCGTAGAACACTGGAGAAACTTTAAAAGACAGCAACACCAAGACTACATGGACTTGAGAAGGGAGCGAAATAGAATCAGGGAGTTGGAACTTCAGTCTCAGAGAGAGTGGCAAGCATTAGGATTAAGAGCTATAGATATGTTAGATAAAGTAGTTAATAAGTATTGTAAAGATTAGTCAATTTTTTTCTATTAAAAGTACGTAGTATTTTAAAAATAAAAGTAGTTATATAAAAATAAGTGATATTCATTCTGTAAATAATAGGAACAGACACAAGCTAGTAGTACCAATTACTCGACTCCACCAAGTCCGTAATTCATTCTTGGGGCAATATATACGCTTTTACAACAAAATCCCAGAAAACATACAAAATTTGACCTGGAATTTATGGATGATAATAACCCTTGAGAATGAGGTGATCGCTACCAAGCTATTTCTAATTTGTTTTGTGTGGTTATTTGTGTAACATACATGATTGTAAGCTGTTATTTAAAAAAAAAGTCCCTCTGGGTTTCTTGCTGGTTCTTCCCAGGACAGAGGTTTTTCTTTTGAACCAGTGGTTATTAAACAAAAGAGTGACTTTCAATAAGTATTATTTATAATCTATATTAAATAAAAAAGTTTGTTCTGTAAATAAACAATATTCTTGTTACCTATATTATGTTACTATTAATTAAATGAAGTTTGTAAGGCTGGTTATAAATAAAAGAAAGCTTATTCAAATTTATTTATTTTGTTAGGACTTACAATTATTTTGTTACTTAACATCTCCCCTCAATAAAATATTTTTAATAACAATAAGACTTCTTATTTACCAAACAACCTATCCCTTAATTTTCTAAACAAAGTTCCCCCAAAGCTTTGGTTAATATGTCTGCGAGTTGGTCACTGTTATATATCTCAATTCTATAATATTTTTATCCAACTTTTCTTTTACAAATGAAAGCTTTATTTCTAAGTGTTTTACTCTAGAATTACCAGTGGCCATCTGTGCCATCTTGATAGTGGACTGGTTGTCTTCAAAAATTACTATATTAGTCTGGAACCCAAAAATGTACAAAACATCTTTTAGCCAACAAGCTTCACTGCTTACTGAACACAGGGCAATAAATTCAGCCTCTGTAGAGGACAAGGAAACAGTCTGCTGTTTTTTTGAAATTTACATTACAGAACTTCCAAAATCTTTAAAAATACAGCCTGTTGTTGACTTACGATCATTACAACCACCCCAGTTACTATCAACATAGCCTAAAACCTCATCAACATTAGAATCTCTATAGTATATAAGACATAAATCACGTGTGCCCTTTAAATATCTCAAAATGTTTAACAATAGTTTAAACAAAAGTGTGGATGCACAATTCTGATACCGACTTAGAATATTAACAACTGCACATATGTCTGGCCTAGTGCCCATTGCCGCATACATCAAGCTTCCTATCAATCTTCTACATTTATTTTCAATTAGAACACTGACTTTTCCCTCTTTAGAATATGAAAATTAAAATCTTTATCAATAGTTAATGACAATGTTTTGCAATCTGACATATTATATTCTGACAAAATGTTTCTTATGTAGTCCTTTTGTGAAATTCGTGACCCCTGAATCTAAATCTTGGTTTACTTTAAATGTTTGACATAGCGTGTTTCTTAGTTTACTCTGCTCAAGTTTGTTGTTTCCAAAATACAGTATATCGTCCACATACAACAATAAGGATGTTTTATTTTTCCCTTCACATTTAGAATACAAACAATAGCCCTTATCGAACTGTTTATAATCCATAGATAACATTACATTATTAAATGTTTCATTCCAATATTTGGGAGACCTTTTCAAACCATAGATTGATTTATTTAGTTTTACAAATTTTACCTCAGTTTCCTCTGGCAGTGACAAATATAACTCCTCATCAAGCTTAGCATTTAAAAAAGCCCCGCAAACATCCATTTGACTAATATTCAAAGTTAGTTTTGTAGCTACAGATACAAAAATTCTAAAAGTATCCTGTTCTTCCCCTTGGTCTTCATCCGTATTTGTGTCATGGAACTCTTCTTCACTTTCCTCATGTTGCTCTACTACTTTGTTCTCAGATAACATGTCCAGCAAAACCATTTCCTCCATCACCTCCTAGTCACATTTCCATTCCTCCACCTCTCTTGCCTTCCAAAAATACTACATCCCTTTGGGTATGGACCTCTCGTCTGATCTCATAATACACTCTGAAACCTTTTGATATTATAGTAATTCAATTTAAAATTAAGATACCTACCTATATTTTCCTCTGTATCCTCAACACCAAAATTAATAATTATATTATGTAACACAGAGCATGCTAAAATAATGTGTGCACATTTTACGGGCTTGTAATGCAAAACTCTATCCTTGTGCAGACATCTCCATCGATTTTTCAACCTTGAAAATGTGTTTTTAATAACAACTCGAGCTCTCATGTGCTTTTCATTATAATTATTGGACTCAGCGTCTAAAAATGGTGTCATAAGCCACAGGCGGTAGGGATATCCAGAATCTCCTAGAGTTAAAATATACATGTTATTTTCAATAATATAGATAGAAATTATTTAGTAATGTTTTACTTAAAAATACTTCATATACTTAACTCAAAACATCCCAATAAGTTATACTCTAGATATATTACCTAAAAGCCAGACAATTTCTCCATTTTGGTGCAAAGATTGCATGTATGTGTTTAAACCACTGTTTTCCCCTTATAAAGGAATCACGATTTGCACCTGCAAACTTGGAATTCAAATTTAAAATTCTATATTCATCATCACATACCTGAAAAGAAGACATTTTGTTTATTTTTTACCCCTTTTTAACCAATGAATAATAAAATAAAAAAACTTAAGATTTACCACTGTCACTTGGAATTTCCACACGCTCCAGTTGCGCTGGCCCTCCAGTATGATGACCGAGTTTGGCGCCACCACCGCCATGATGCTAGGGTCTGTCTCCGACATTTAGCAACTATACCACGTGGAAATCTGATGCCGTGATTTGCCTCGATTGCACTCCACACGACCTCCTTCAGACGCCGCTTTCAACAACAACACAGCCTTGTGTTGTTGACCAAAACACGTTGCACACCGATTGCGCTGACTCCTCGCTCGCACCAAAAACTATCTCTTTGATCTTCGCCTAAAATAGAATTATGAGCACTGGGCCCATAACCTGTTAGGACTTTGCAAATAAACCATTAGTTATTTCTTCAAGATGCTCGTTTATTCTGTTTTAATTAGGTACATCGCAGAACACTAAAACACAAGAGATTCCAGCCATCCCAGCTTACCAGAGAGTACCGTAAAACCCGCCAACTTTGGTTTTTAATTCTAACATTGGCCACTTGACAAAAATAACAAAAATTTGCTGTAGTAGAAAATATATCTCATATAGCAACATTTTACAACATATTATGGAAAATAGAATATATTTCTGGCAATACCAATCATACGTTCGGTTACTAAGTTCACTCAGTTGGCTGTCAACAGTTGTCAAATAGGAGTCTCTGCCGGTGGTCCCAAATTGTTCCTCGAGTATAAAGCTTTTTCGCGCTTGAAAAATGATCCAGGTGAGTGGAATTTTTGATATGTTATTAAGTGAAATCTTGGTTTTAATATGGTATACATCTCAAATCAATATGAATCCTCTATTAATCAGTAATTCAAATGGCCAATGTTACAATCACTTGTAGCAAACATGTGCCGTTAACTTTGGCCACAGAAAAACAATACTAGGGCTGCCCACTGATAATTTTAAAATTCGGTACCTACCTACTCATGAGTTGATGGTACTTTTTGCTTATAACTTAGTTTTACAATTAGTTTTGGTATAATACCTAGAATACAGTTTAAAATATGTATATTTGCTTATTATTTATGTCCATATATATTTACAGAATGGATACATCTAAGCCAAAATCAAGAAAAAAAGCAAGAAAAAGTCGCAGACGCCTTGGTGCCCGGCAATATAAAAATTATTCAAATGAAATGCTTGAAATAGCTGTAGATCTTGTTAGAAAAAAACAGATATCAGCAAGAGAGGCGGCGCGACAATTCGCAATTCCTAAACAGACAATATTAAATAAAGTAAACAAGTCTCATACAAAGTCTGTCGGATGTCCAACGCGATTATCTGATGACGAAGAAGCCAAATTTATTAAAGTTTTAATTGCTGCTGGGGAATTCGGATGCCCACTTAGTAAATTGGATCTTCGCCTCGTCGTGTTTGAATACTTGAAAAAGAATGGCCGCGAGGATGTATTTAACGGAGGACCTCCTGGAAAAGCATGGCTTGATAATTTTTTGTCAAGACATTCATTAGATTTGTCAGTTCGTAGCACGCAGAATATTAAAAAAAATAGAGCTGAGAAAGGGGTTGATGAGTTCATGGAATATTTTAGAAATTTAGAAGAGACTTTGAAAGATGTTGCTCCATCAAATATACTCAATTTTGACGAAACAAATTTAACAGATGATCCAGGATCTTCAAAATGTATATTTAGGCGAGGAGTAAAATATCCCGAGCGAGTGCTCAATTCAACTAAAGGAGCCATTTCGCTGATGTTCTCAGTTACAGCGAACGGGAGCTTGCTACCTATTTACGTTGTCTATAAGGCAGAGAATTTATATTCTGAATGGATACAGGGCGGACCGCGTGGTACTAGGTATAACTGCACAAGATCTGGGTGGTTTGATTCTTTTGTTTTTGAAGATTACTTTAACACAATTATTATGGATTGGGCAAAGTCTTTACCTAGTAAAAAAGTCGTTATATGCGATAATTTATCAAGCCACTTAAATGTGAGTGTTATCGAATTATGTGAGTGTCACAATATTCAGTTTGTTTTCATTCCATCTAGCTCGACACACATAACACAACCCCTTGACGTTGCTTTTTTTGCACCACTTAAAAAAGTGTGGCGAGCAATATTACTCAAGTACAAAATGGAAAATCCCAACCAAACTACTCTGAATAAGAATCATTTCCCAAAACTTTTACATTCTTTAGTTGATCAAGTTGAAATATATTCATCTAAAAATATCAAAAGCGGATTCAGAGCAACTGGGATCTACCCATTCAACCCAAGAGAAGTACTGAAGCGTGTACCAGAGTATCAAGAAGATGTGGCATCATATGGGATTGACAATGCATTGCTAGACTACTTAAAGCAGATCAGGCAGCCAAATCCTATGATAACAAAAAGAAACAAGAAAGTTATGACTGTACCTGGAAAATCAGTAACAGTCGATGATTTACTGCTGACTTCCCAACTCTCAAAATCGAATGTACGAGGCAAAGTCAAGTCATCCAAGAATACTACGACACTCACGAAGGTAGATACTGCTGCCTCACTCGAGAATTTTAATAAAAATTACAATTATGACATTAGTTATATTTTAAACGAAAAAACGGGTCTCATGGAAGCCACAAAAAACACTGATTTAGTATTTGAAACTGATTTACCCGTGATTTCGATAAAAGACCAAGACAAGCCCAAAAAGATAAATATTCTATCCGACATCATTTTACCAAAATATAAGACTAAGCCTATTGCAAAAACTAAAACTAAATACTTTAAAGAAATTGATACAAGCTTCAACATTTTATCACAAACTTTTCCTTCAGAACGCAATATTATCATAGAAAAACCACATACTGAAAATTCGGGTGGTAAGGTAAGAAAAATAGATAATATTGCTTTTAATATTAACGTTCATGGTGTTTTAAGTAGTGACGATAATGAGGATATTAGGGATATTGTGAGTTGTTCTGCAAATAGCAGAGAGAAAACTAACAGTAAAAAAAGGAAGAAAAAACGTCGTTTGAGAAAAACCGTCAAAAAGGAAAACGTAAAACCAGTTAAGAGACCAAGAAAATCTCTAGATAGTTCTACAACTACTGAGGAAGATTGCATTAGCACCCATAGTGATTCTGACATAATTGAAGCACTTAGTGATGTTTCAAATTTTGAAATAAGTATGGAAGAGTCTACAAATATTGATGAATCTATAAATATGGATAAACAAATAATAAAAGAAGATATACATCAAATTGACAAGAATTCAAAGAAAAAAGAGTATTATGAATTAGGAGAAAAAGTGTTGGTAAGATACTATCAGTCAAATAACTGGAAGTACTATGTAGGATTAATTGAAAGTGTTAATGACAATTCCAAAACTTTTAATATATCTTATTACAAATGCATAAAAACAAAGGATTCAGATGATATTAAATTTATTAAACCTAAGCTCTTGGATCGAGATATAGCCGTACCAGAAAGTAACATTGTTAAAATTATAGAACTTTTACAATTCAATGAAAGTCCTGAAGAATATGCATTAATGTGTGATAAGGATTCTGTGTACTTTTAAGAATTTGATATTATGTCTTGTGTTATCACAAAAAGTATATTGCTGTATTTCTTTGGTATTTACTAGAATGTGTCATTTACACGCTCATTTCCTAAAGTTCCTAAAGTATCTATGTTTTTCATTTATTATTTTTTGTTTTCAGTAGGTACGTAGGTTCTAAATAAACACTAAGCTTGGTACCTATTGTTATATATATTTTTATTTATAAATTTGAGAATTTTAAAATTTCACCTCAACGTGATGATTAAGTAGTCTTGAGATTACTAAATTGAAAAATGAATCTTTTTTTAAGAATTTTGATCTCACAAATATGTGATAGTAATTTAAGTACTTACTCATAATCATTTAATACTTGATATAATTTGATAGTCTATGTTGTTGTCTACTTGCTTAGTAAAAGTGCCATATTTTATATGCTAATATTGTACCAAATAAATCTCATATAATAAAATGCGATTGATTAAAAACATGTTTTTTTTTGTAAAACACTCAACCAATATATATTAATTAAAAAAATTGACAACCCTGAGTCTAAAACTGTTTTGTATGGAAATTTAAAAAAAGTTTCGGGTATCTTTGGCCACCTCGCTGTAAGCCAAAATATTTAACTTTTTGTGATTATTGCCTTTTACACGTCTTCTTTAGCCAGTTTCCTGTCATAGTTCTTAAAGTAAACGGCATTGAGACTATAATTCAAGAGTTATAAGCAGTGGCTAATGTTGACAGAAAGCTGATGTAATTTTGGCCGACTAAAAAAATATATTTTTAGGTAAGAAACTGTCCTAATTTTCGCAATTTCCGTGAATTAACATCAACAGTTGAGGTTTCTGGTGTTAAACAAATATGAAAAACTAATACTTTACTAACAGTTTTTTTGATTTAAAGTTGATTAAGTGCAAAATGTGGCCAATGTTGGCAGGTTTTACGGTATATATCATGTTGCCAGTACAAAAATATTTAATTGTACTTAACATATTTAATCCCTATAGTACCCTTCTTGCTAATTGATCTCTTAATATTCTACCTCTAATTAAATCAGAGGTAGCTTCTCTTTCTGTGTAAGTTATTTGATCAGATTCCATTGTCCTTTCAAATTGCAGACCTAAAAATAATTCATAATTAATAAGTTAGCTTAATATATTATAGTAATTCAATTTAAAATTAAGATACCTACCTATATTTTCCTCTGTATCCTCAACACCAAAATTAATAACTATATTATGTAACACAGAGCATGCTAAAATAATGTGTGCACATTTTACAGGCTTGTAATGCAAAACTCTATCCTTGTGCAGACATCTCCACCGATTTTTCAACCTTGAAAATGTGTTTTCAATAACAACTCGAGCTCTCATGTGCTTATCATTATAATTATTGGACTCAGCGTCTAAAAATGGTGTCATAAGCCATGGGCGTTGGGGATATCCAGAATCTCCTAGAATTAAAATATATATGTTATTTTCAATAATATAGATAGAAATTATTTAGTAATGTTTTACTTAAAAATACTTCATATAAATCAAAACATCCCAATAAGTTATACCCTGGATATATTACCTAAAAGCCAGACAATTTCTCCATTTTGGTGCAAAGATTGTATGTATGTGTTTAAATCACTGTTTTCCCATATAAAGGAATCATGATTTGCACCTCCAAACTTGGAATTCACATTTAAAATTCGATATTCATCATCACATACCTGAAAAGAAGACATTTTGTTTATTTTCTACCCCTTTTTAACCAATGAATAATAAAATAAGAAAAAAACTTAAGATTTACCATTTGAACATTAAGTGAATGGTAGTGCTTACGACTATAATACAAATGTTCCTCTTCTTTTGGTGGAACAACTATTTTAAAATGACTTCCATCAATACAACCAACCACTCCAGGAATTCCATATTTTCTGTAAAAACTGAATTTTAAAATAAATATTTACCGAATCTAATGAATAATATGCATAAGGTTGTTTAAAAATAAGCATATATTTATTACCGTTGACTAACTGCTTGTCGAGCAGCTGGAGTGTCAGGGAACCGAATATATTTATTTATTATATTTTTGTGTGTCAGCGCCTGGGTAACTTCTTCTATGTACACACTGCACATTTTTTGAGACATGTGCTTTGCAATCCCAACTGGCCTTTGGTAAGATCCAGTTGCAAAAAAGAATAGAGCAGTGAGCACCTGCAGAGAACAAACTTATATTTAAACTTGCACTTGTTTTAAACTTGAGTTGCAAAAATATGAATACTTTAATGATCGATACGTACTTTATGTTCCAAGGAAACGCGTTGAGAGGAGCTAAGATTTGTCAAACTCCTTAGCTCTTTACACAAAAACTTTAACACTTTCTTGGAAATGCGATACCTATCTTTAAATTGCCTCCCCGTGAGGTGTAACAAAGGGTTGAAAGATGCACGAACTCTTGATTCAACATCGGCGTTATAATTGCGGTCATCTTGTGCCTTAGCGGTTGCAAACATCCTCCATGCGAAATAAAAACGTCCTGCCATAATTAAATATTGTTCACACAAAACGAAATAAAACGAAGCCTTCAACAATCCTTCTCACTATGCTTTCTCACTGTCAAATTTTAGGTGAAAACTTTTTCGATATCGACGGCGTAAAGTTTGTTTATGTTACGTATCGAACGATCAAAATTGGATCTCGCACTCGCAAAATACTTGAAACAACCAATCACGTGCGTTAACGTTCTCACTGTCGAATTCAATCTTATTTACACACTTCTACCTTTGAAACATGCAACTTTAAATCAAGCTTCATCGGTTTTTGGTACTTAACAATTAAAAACAGCTTAACCCAATAACTAACTCCAAATATAAACATTTTGACCTAATTTCGTGTGATCATGAAATAATATCAGTCAATAAAATTCGCTATCCTGTCCATGATATAGATGTATTACACACTCCGCTTGAACACTTTTTAAGAATAATAGCTATGCACTGTGCGAAAAACGTATCAAAAAGCGAATTAAACTTTTACAACGAAATAAACAAGCAGATTATGACGTCATTATAAAATCTCTCGATCAGATAAACTAGGTAGATGAATTGAACTCTCTCAGCAACTTAAATATAATGTTACAAAAGTTTTACACCATACTAGAAAAAATAATAAATGATTATGTACCCAAGCCACGTTAATGTAATTCAAACAATTCAGTGTGGTTTTCTCCTAGCTTAATTCGTTTAGTAAAACTGAAATGTAAAAACCATACCAAATTTAAAAACATTAACAATTCCCTTGACCAAATTGAATTTCAATACATAAGAAAAAATGTGAAACGTATAATAATATATTATATAGGTGCTATATAAAATATGTTACAACCATTGAAGAGGCAATATCAGTAAACCCTTAATATATCTAGGTGCATATTAAACACATGCAAAAAATACTTGTTCATTTCCTCCTATTATGACGCTTGGCAACGAGAAAGCACACAACACAAAAGAAATTTGCGATTTATTCGCTAAAAACTTTTCTTTAATTTACGTAAATGTGACGGCGCTGACCACCACTCACAAATACCAACTCCCACTGTACTATCAGAAATGGAGAACTTCCATATAACGCATAAAGCAATAGTTAAAAATTAAAAAGACTTATCTCTACTAAGGGAAAGGGACCGGAGAACATCCCACCACTATTTTTTAATAAATGTGCACGTTCCTTAGCTGAACCACTTTCTACCATTTTCAACACTTCTTTGACAACTGGCATATTTCCCTCAAAATGGAAAGAAGCAAGGATTTTTCTATTTTAAAAGATGGCAATAAAGAACTTATATGTAATTATCGACCAATCTCAACCCTTTCGACTCTGTCGAAGACCTTTAGAGGTACTAGTATATCTTCACCTGTATAATCCTATCAAGCCGGTTATTAATACCAATCAACATGATTTCGTTTCTTTATAGGATAAGGTGACAAACCAGCACACAGTCCACCTGATGGTAAGTGGTTGCCGTGACCCATAGAGATCTACATCTATCCCCAATAAATAATCAAAATAAATTGTCACCTGTGAAGACTAAAATGGAATGCCTCTTTTCCAGTAAAACGGGTCTCCGGTTCTCTACACTCACCACACGAAACACAACAGTGTTAATCTGTTATTTTATGCTGGTATTCTGTGAGAGCGTGGTCCTTACCTAGTCGAGCAGAGCCATTCGTGCTATAACTATACTACTAATATAGCTGCAGCATGGCTCTACGACGTATAAAAACAATACGATCTACTAATACAACTCTAATAAATAAAAATAATACTAGCAGAAACAGTATTCTATCTAATGGCTGGCAAATTGACAGCATATACACTTATTTTGCAGATGCCTTCGATAGTGTCAACCACCAAACCCTGTTGCGTAAACTGAAGTTATTTAATATAACGAAATACTTTTTTATTTGATGTAAATCATACCTAGAGGCACGAACACTTCAAGTTGTATTGAATGGTATTAAATCTTATTCAGGCTGTAAGCCTTATCAGGAGTACCACAAGGATCACAACATCTGGAGCCATTATTTTTTACTCTCTTCACAAATGATATTACATCTCTTATATGCTGATAATTTAAAATTATCTCGAGCTATTAGCACAAAAAATGATGAAGAACTGTTGCAGGAAGATCTTAACAGCCTAGTTATGTGGTCCAAACACAAAAAATGTCTTAACTAATAATATAAAGTTTTAAGATTTTTAATATACAATACTTAGAATTAAAACGATCACTGCTAGATATGGCATTCTTATATAAACTATTTCATAATGCTGTCGACTGCCCAAATCTGCTTAAAACATTTTCCATAAAGGTACCCACACGGCTACCTCGTCATGAAATCGGAATATTTAAAGTACATAAACATAAAAGTAATCTAGGAAAATATTCGCAAGTTTCCCGTTTGACACCTACCTATAAGATAAAATCAACTGATAACACAGATCTCGACATTTTTAACGAATAATTTTCTTTTATAATTATGTAAGGTGTTACATAATTATAAAAGAAAAATTATTCTGACTGGGTGATGCACTTCTGTTATGTATTTTATTTATTTCTGTTATTTTATTGGTCCTTCTCTTTAATTTTTGTACTTTTTCTTCTTCTTTCATTCAATTTAATAATGTTGTGACAACCTGTAATCTGTAGTTCAATAAGCATAATATGTAATTCAAAGATAGAAAGCAATAAATCTATTTTAACTACTGCAGGATGTCCTTTAAAATAAATAGATAAAAAATAAATAAGGAACATACTGTATTCATTCATTTAATGTGTAGTCTTCACGTAAATATAAGAAATCATTAAATAAATAAATGATTTATCTATTATCTAAATATATAACAATAAATAAAAAAATCATAATTAACCAACTAGTAGCATATCGTTTCGTGTCACAAAGGATAAAAGGAAATTCTTATAGGATCACTGTTGTTTGTCTGTCCGTCTGTCAAGGCTCTTTTTTTTTTCTTAGAAAGAGACAAAATTTGGAAAGTATCAATATCTATTCTATTCTAGTAAAAGTATAGTTTAAAAGTATCGATGCTAGTTCATATCGAGCACTCTTTAAATTTTTAACGTATTAAAATAAACATGCCAAATAATTAGTTTTAAGTGTTTATTACAAACGAGGCATTCCATCTTAGTCCTCAAGGGTGACAACGCATCTGCATCTTTATTCATAATCGAGGATAGATGTAGATGTCTATGGGTCACCCATATAGCTGTGAGTTAGGTGCACTGTGTACTCGCTTGTCATCTTTATTCTATAAAAAAAAATATTTTTGTTTTCATATCAGTTGATGGATCTGAGGAACAGCGCACAGTTGTGCAATTGCGCATCCCTAAAAACAAAGTTTTACTGTTCTTCTTCCAGTGAGTTTGGAGTAACATTTTTTTAACAATAATGGATGTACCATGTTCACTAATCCTTCATTCTGGTATCACAAAATTCCCTTTTTTAAAGCTGCCTCATTCGTAGTTTCATTTACTTTTTCCCGGTTTCTGGACAGAACATTATGTTAGCTTTGGTAATTTTATTTTAAACTAGCTGTTCCCCGCGACTTCGCCCGCGTGTTTTTTTTTAATTTTTTTGTGCGGAACCCTAATTATTTTTCTAAAATAAAAGTAGCCTAAGTTACTCCTTGTGACATCAGCTATCAGCCAGTGAAAATCCCGTCAAAATCGGTCCAGGCGTTTCGGAGATTAGCCGGAACAAACAGACAGACAGACGAACAGACAGACAGACAGACAAAACATTTAAAAATTGTATTTTTGTTATTAGTACCGTATATACTTTCATACGCATTTAGTAAAAAGCTGTAATTTTGACATTACAAACAGATACTTCAATTTTATTTATTTGTAGAGATTAATTAACCAGTCTTTTTCTGAACAATTAGAAAAAAATTATAATAATTTTCATCAGTGAGACCATTTCGAGCTTTAGATATTAGCGCTCCAGCCTCTGAGAACAATCGTTCTGAAGGCACTGATGTTCCTGGCACAATCAGATACTTTCTGGGCATTACAAAGAGCTTTAGAAATTATCTTCATATTTTCCTTCATTATCTTTATATTTTATTATCTTCATATCTTCCTACGCCAGGAAGATGTCAGATTTTAGAGGGGCAAGAGGATTCGCAAAGTATAGTCCAATTTATCTTTTGCTCTTTCGTGTTGCTCCCCCTCGATCCTCTATACTTACTCCTACTTATTATTACGTATTATATATGAAAACGTAAAAGATGTCCACACATTGCAGTTTGGTTTGCTGCCTGGGAATTCCTCGGAAATACTCGCTAAAATTAGTGATGTGATATTAAAAGTTTTACGGTTCATAATCACAACCGGTTTTTAATAAATCGTTATTTAAGGGTTTATTTTTCATTTACTGAAGTCATAATCATACTTGAAAGTATCGAGTAACTCACAAAGTATCGATACCTACTAGTATCGTAATAAAAACTATCGAGTACTCAAATATTGTTAATACTACTCATGTATCGATTTCTTTTTGAGGATCACTAGAAATAGATAAATTGATCACACTACACTACTACACTATAATTATATAAATTTTATTTCGTTAATAGCTCAAGTACTTCTTTCTTCAACCGATCCGCCAATCGTACTTCCATTCAATTTTAAATGTTCTTGTTTATTCTTGTTTCCTCCATTTATTGGTAAATAAAGATTCTAATTTGTATTTTATTCTTTTCTGTTCACTACTAGACACCATTCTATTCTATTCTGTGTAGTTAACAAGAAAAGATAAACACCTTGTTATCTATAATTTATAAACCTATCAATAACTGTCATGTAATCTGTGATGTTAATGTAGTATTTTCTTAAACCCGACCTTGTTGAGACTTGCGAGCAGAAGATCACTGGATAGCTCAGTCTTCGTGGGCCTGCATTTGAAAGAAAATTTTAAAATTGTTATCCATATGTTTTTTTTTTATATAGGATAGAGTGACAAGCAAGCACACAGTCCACCTGATGGTAAGTGGTTGCTGTGGCCCATAGACATCTGCATCTATCCTTGATTACGAATCAAAATGCAGATGCGTTGTCACCCGTGAGGACTAAGATGGAATGCCTCGTTTGCAGTAAAAAAGGGTCTCCGGTTCTCTACACTCACCTTACGAAACACAGCAGAGTTATGCTGCTATTTTACGCTGGTATTCTGTGAGAGCGTGGTCCTTCCCCGGTCGAGCCGACCCATTCGTGCTACAACTATATTATTAATATAGCTGCAGCATGGCTCTACCACGTTGTTAATCCAAGTTTTTAATGTTTACGCAAACGCTACCAGGTGGTTAGGAGGTTGGACTCTTTTCAGCCTAGAATTTCGTCTATCTAGGTACCATGATCTTATTCTATATACCTACCTATTTCTACCGTCAAATAGTAGTGCGTGCACTGTAAAGAGATTTATATATTTAGGTATACTATAGAGCGGACATTGGGAACATTTATATACAAAAACTTTTAGCTAGTGCGCGTGTGGCACCCTCTAGCTAAAAATAGCAAAACAACACTAAGCATTTATTATGACAACATTTTAGCTATTCCCCGGTAGGTGACGCTAATAAATATAACCTCGTTTAAGGAATGTTACCGTTTCGTAATAAAATACAAAGTATCGATAATATTGTTGAAGATTACTAAGTTTGAAATGCTTTTCGATATAATAATAGGGAATATACATGATTGTTTTCACACAACGAAAAATATCATATTAACTTTTTACGCCCCTTTAGTGTCATGAAATAAAATATTTAATTTCCAATAACTATTAATCAATTCATAAAGCAGTCACTTTGGTTGCCACCTTGGTGGTATGACGTTACTCGGTTCATTAGATGCTATAATAATAGCATAGGATTCATCGGTCGGCGTTAAAGAAACTTCGAGAAACGCCAAATCCAATAGGAGAGCACCTCTATGTTTTTAAATTCGTTTTTATTACAAAAATACACTTCAAATCTAAAATATTTTAGGAAAACACTGAAATTAAAAGCCATTTCATGATTTTTTACGTTTCATCAGCTGCAGTACTTAAAGATATTACCCACGTCAATAAAAATTGTTATTTTAAGTTTTTACCGTATCTTATAACTCAGGCTTCTTGCATCTAATATCTTTAACAGTATAAATTGTTTTTAATGTAAGAAATCTATTGCCCTCTCCTATCACTGTAAGCGAGAATCTATAATGGCTTTGTCCTTGAAAACCACCAGACAATGAAACCCGGTGTAAAACCACCAGACAATGAAGCCTGGTATGTAAAAGAGAAGACTTGCTGTATTGCTTAACATCAAGACACCAAGTATCCTCAGAATGCTCATAAGCAACACAGAAAATATCATCAGCACCCCTAAAAAGAAATTTCCCACCCTTGCTCCACATAAAGTAGGGTACTTAGCATAGTTGGTATATGCTACTCATTTTTGTTGGTATGGGTACAGTATCGTTGACTATTTCACCTCCTTAAATATTGTAAAGGATTAAATCGGCATCCTGTATATTTTTATCGATAATTCCAAGCGATAAACGTCGTCAATCGCTAATTTTGAAATTGGTAACTATTTAGATGTGTTAGTGACGTTTACTGGACAACAGAGGGCGCTTAATACAATAAAAATAAATGTTCTAGAACAATCTACTAGAAATAATAAAATTTAAAGATTATTCGGTAAATATATGTTATATTTACGATAATAAACCGAAATCACATTCATTTTTTGCTCCATATCGTGACTTACAATATCTTAATGCACAACCGGGCATATTTTCTTTAAAAATATTTTATAAATATATGAAACGAATGCGTCTTGACTTTTTGGCGATGTCACTAATACTAAATGACAAAAATCGGAGATGTATCCTATAGGACATAAGTTACAGACGACAATTTTGCTACTGATGTCCGGTCTATTACTACAACTACTTAAATGTCTTTGGTGCACTGCTATGTTCCGGTATGAGGAGCGTAAGAGGCAGCATAATTACAGACATATAATTACACATATCATCTTGGTCCTCAGGAGTGAGAACGCATCAGTAGCCCTCTTTATTTAAAGATCGTTGCAGGTTTAGTGCAGTAGGCACGAACCATCAGGTGGACTGCAAATTGGTTTACACCTACAATTTTATTTAAAACAAAAAAACAAACACTTCATATTTAGAGGAAATAGATAATTTTTCGGATTTTATCTCATTTTATATTTTTATATGCTTGGCGTATCAACTGTTAATCTATCAACTAAGAATCTTTAGTTAATAATTTTAAATCTAAACCCATGCAAGAGTGTTATGCACATCAGAACAGTATTTGGATGAATTTGTTTACGTGGTAGAGCCATGCTATATTATGGTTGTCCCATTAATTGTTCGGCTCGAACGGGTAAGTTTTTTTTTTTTATAGGATAAGGGTGACAAACGAGCACACAGTCCACCTGATGGTAAGTGGTTGCTGCGGCCCATAGACATCTACATCTATCCTCGTTTGCGAATCAAAATGCAGATGCGTTGTCACCCGTAAGGACTAAGATGGAATGCCTAATTTCCAGTAAAAAGGGCCTCCGGCCACCTGCACTCACCAAGCGAAACGCAGAGGTAAACCTCTATTTCACACTGGTATTCTGTGAGGTCGTGGTACCACCCCGGTTCGAGCCGGCCCATCCGTGCGACAGCAAAAGCTGCCGCGTGGCTCTACCACTGTTAAAAAGTAAGTAAGTACGTGTTGTCGCACGGTGAGTGTAGATAACCAGAGACATGCATTGTAAAAGAGGCATTCCATCTTAATTCTTAAGTGTGGCAAAGCATCTGCAATGATTCTTACTCGAAGACATGTATATGTATATTGGTCACAGCATCCACTTACCATCAGGTCTACTCGTTTGTCATCCTAATTCTATAAAAATGCCAAACAGGGCTACAACGTACCAAATAAACACAGTATAACGAGTTTTACTTAACTAATTTTATTGTACGCGCTATTTTAATAAATAAAATAATATTTCCATTGCCATTAAGCAAATTGTTACCAATTTAGCACGAGTAGCCGAGTTAGTTTCCGGCCCACTGACAACAGAGTTGTCCATGCTGCAGAAATCCAAATTCGTTGTTGTGAACTTGTGGAAGTTATCCTGGAACTGCCTCCAAGTGCAGCCAGTAGTGGGACATAGCTCCGTTTCCCGTTCGTTGATGAAAAACTGGACGCGGTACGTTTGAGATCCTGATTCATGACAACTGGAAATATAAAAATATTCTGGTATTGAATTGTAGCATCTTTGAATCCACATCCTGCTTCTAACATCTTATTAGCTTCATCGCACATTTATTGTTGTGTAATTTTTTATGACTGATATAATTTTTTATAATTTGACGGCTCCGTGGCGCAGTGGCTTAGCAATGAGTTGCTGCGCTAGGGGCTGCGGGTTCGAATCCCGCATGGAACAAGTATTTGTATGGCCTACAAATAATTGTTCCGGTTCTGAATGTTTGTCCTTGTGAAATGTGTATTTGTAAACTGCCTCTGCAATACAGGAGAAAATCCTAGTGTGGGGGTAACGTTTTTTAAAAGAAAGAATAAAAAATAATAGAATATGATTGAACATGCGTATCTTTGTTTTAATTTTAAAATTTACGAACTAAAATGAAAAGCATGGATATTGACAGTAACTGTCAACTTCACGAAGACTGATGAATTGGTGCCACGGGTAGGGAGCTTCTTTCATGGCAAAGACTCCTCTTAAACCATAGGTTGATCCCAAGACTATTAATAACGTTTTGTAATAATGCGGTACATAGTAGTACGGTATACAAAGGCGGATAAATATAAGATAGTTTATCTAAAACATTATAAACATAAGCTATAAGCCCAGTGCGGAAGTCGCGTGCGTAGTCACTTTTATCATTAGTTTTGATAAGAAACAATGATATGAATGAGAATTGTCTAGTGCGTGTCTTATAAATTTAGGAATAAAAAATTAAACATTTGATAAAAAGTTAAAAAACGGCTTAAATGAACTAAAAGCAATAAAATAATTTCATTATCATTGCTTCTGAAGCTAAAAAGTGGAAATCATTTTTTGTTATCCTTGGTAGTCGATTTATACTTGTTATTAAAAGTTTACAGCGATCTCGTTTACATTAAACGTAAAGATCCAGACTGGGAACGTGGGGCGACGTCAAAGGTGCAAAATGTACTGCGAACTGCGATTCTCAATCCGTCTGCCAAGTGCGATCAAGGTAAATTTCCCCTACAACGAGAGAGACGGACTTTTACCGACTGGTGAAGAAGAAGACAGGGACAGTTATCCGTGTGGTTACGGCTTAAGACTATCCCGTGGATATCGTATGAGGCGACAGAGAGAAACTGAAACGGGAAATGGGCTGTAGCATCCTCGTGATAACAACTTAATTCTAATTTTAAAAAATAACGGTAACGGTAACAAACCCGCCTGCCATGCGTGGCAACTATCGAGGGAGGCCTATGTTCAGCAGTGGAGTTAAGTAGGTTGTAATAGATGGATGAAGAATGAAGACTCTCCAGCACTGACCTCTATATACCAGTAAGGAATCCACATTATATGCAATAAATGAAACCACAATTAATACTAGTCCATAGAAGTGTAGAAAAATGAAATATTAAATTAAAACCCGGAAAATAAAAAAGTAAAATTTTCAAAAAAAAATATTAAAATAAATTCAGTAAAAGTAAACACTCTGTTTAGACCTAAGATGTTTTTAAAGGTATAGATCATCGATCACTAATATTTTTATTAGTGATCGATGGTATAGATACATCATACTCGCTCTAAAATGGCAATACGAAAGTAAGGTAATTGCCCGACTCGCATTCAGTCGGGCACGCATTCGCGTCGCGGCTATACCTTCGCTACAGCACGTAAATCTTCTAGTTATTCGTGGACAAAAATGCCTCCCTGTGTTTTTAAGTGGTGCACAAATCACACGGCAACTGTTAGAGACAAGAAAAACATCTCACAAATATTTTGAATATAGATATTTTGTTCATAATTGGTTTTATTATTTCAACACTAACCGCTAGAGTAAACTTTGACGCTAGCTAGTGTGTTCATTTCCATACCGGTAGTCACGCGCTCGCGCCAATGAGCGCTCGGCAGCAATCAATACGCAACTAATGATGTATATTCATCTTTTTCTAACGATAGGTATGCTCTATAATTTGTCTCTTTTTGTTAGCGCATCGTGTCATAATAAATAACTGTACATAGATATAGTACTACCTGCGCCACTTTAAAATAAAATAATGTTAGTGTGTAACCTGTCTATCTTTTTAATACGTCTTTGGTTTAGACTATGTACCTTGACCCCTTGGAAGAGTGGCAACGTCGCACGCGGGTGTCATGGCGGATGGCGGCAGGAAGCGTTATTGTCGGCCCGGCCTTTGGTTCGTTTAACAATGTTTTTTTTTTATAGGATCGGGTGACATACGAGCACACAGTCCACCTGATGGTAAGTGGTTACTGTGACCCATAGACATCTACATCTATCCTCAATAAAGACTCAAGATGCAGATGCGTTGTTACCCGTAAGGACTAAGATGGAATGCATCTTTGCCAGTAAAAAGGGTCTCCGGTTCTCTACACTCACCATACGAAACACAGTAGCGTTAAGCTGCTCTTTTACGCTGGTTTTCTGTGAGAGCGTGGACCTTCCCCGGTCAAGCCGACCCATTCGTGCTACAACCATAATATAGCTGCAGATGGCTCTACCACGTATAAAACGACGAAATAAAAACTTACTCACTAAACTGTTTAGGTATTTTTACCGCCACTTTATTATTTCGCGAAAATAAAACTGAACGAAATAAATATTATTGCATATTATGTAGTTGCAAAATTTAATGGAACCCTAAATTTTAAAATTTTCAAAATGTCCGCCACGTTCTTGAATGCATTAGTTACATCGCCGCATAATTTTGTCCTGAAGCCTGCTCAACAAATTTCGTTCAGGATCCCGAGACAGGGCTTTTAATTTGTCAAAGGCGGCAACAATACGATTGCGCAGTTCATCTTCGGTTTCGGAGATCTTTGAGTACACCTCATTTTTAATAAAGCCCCATAAAAAGAAGTCTAGATGAGTGAGGAAGGGCGATCGAGCTGGCCACGTGCGAGGGCCATAGCGCCCTATCCATTGTTCGCCAAACATGGTGTTAAGCTGCTGTCTCGCGAGGAGTACAGGGTGTGTAGAAGCTCCATCTAACTGGAAGCATACCCTCTGGTAAGCTGTCACAGATAATCCTTCTAAATATTCTGTTATTGGGCCGTTAAGAATATTGAGAAACTTCTGTGCATTCAGGTTTCCGTCAATAAAAATAGGGCCGATAATTTGATCTCCGTGAATGCCTGCACAAACATTAATGGAAAATCGATATTGATGAGCTGATTCCCTAAATAAATGGGGATTCGTATGGCTCCAGTGATGCACGGTTTGTCGGTTCCATATGCCGTTTTGAGTAAACGTGCTTTCATTTGTCCAAAACACATTTGATAGGAAACGTTGGTCTTGACACATTTTTTCCAGTATCCAGTGGCAGTAAGACTCTCTAATCGGCATATCAGAGGGCAGCAGCGCCTGCACCTTAGCATATTTATAAGGAAGTAGTTTGTTCCTTTTCAGCACTCGGTGTATTGTTCTATGCCTCACTCTAAGCACACGCCCAGCTTTTCTAAGGCTGCAGGTTGGATTCCGATCGAAATGGTCTAAGACTCGTTGTTTGAACGAGGGGGGAAAGTGATGCGGACCAACTCCTTCATGAGTGTTGAGCACTATGTGCTGATATTACCTGATTCTTTGGACATCACTTAGAATTGTCCGGACGCTAGTAGGGCAGACGCGAGTTGTGCCGTATCTCTAACGACAAGTACGCAGAGTTAACGCTGAATTTTGGAATACAATAAAACCATGTCTGTATACTCTGCCGCACTATAAAAATGCTGTTGTCTTGGCATTTTCCGCCGCCAACACGTACACACAAAAGTCAAGTAGTGTCAATATCACAGTAAAAAAATAATAAAAATAAACGTACTTAAAAACACTATTTACACACACAAAGTCAATTAACCAATAAGTGCCTATTTCACCGTAAAAAAAGTATTTGACTAATTGTATTTATCTTACGAAAAATAAATCAGTTGAAGCAATGCGCGTAAGCAGCGAAACCCACCTGTATTCTGGAAGAATTGCGGTGAACTGAAAGCCAAACTTCGAAATTACAAAATGGCGAAAATAATAAAAGTAATTTTGTGGCCACAATTATCGTTTATCGATACTTTTCTTACTTACCTACTACATTTGAATACAAGTAATTTTGATTTGATAACAATCGACAAGTTATTCATTGTAAAAAAAAAAACTTTATTTTTGTACAATTGAACTTACGAAACTACCGATTTGTGACTTCCTGGGAAACGGGTAAGTATGTATGATTTTTTTAATTGGTTGTTTTTATGGGTTTTTATCATGTCAAAATAACATATTATCTCTAAATCTACAAGAACACACTTAAACAAAAAGCTTTAAAGTTTAGTTTTAAATACTTAGGTCGTAGTATTTTTAGAATTATCATGACAACACGATAATTCTAAAAAAAACCATGCCCTAAGCGTTTAAAGCTAAACATGTTTTTATTGTTTATCGATTATTGCTCCCTTTGAAAGAAGCTAATGGTCGATAAAGCTGAACGCACATTTGTTCGCGCCATACGCGCCATACGCACCGTACGCGCGGAATTTTAAAATTCGTTGTATGAAATCATATGAAACCTCGCACATTACACCCGCATCGTACGTGCCGAATTTTATAAAATGCGGTAGGTATACGATATCGAAGGACGAATGCTGATGGCGAGGAGTTGTCTAATGTTGCCAACTTAGTGGATTTTCAACTAAACAGGTAGTTTCGACTTTTGTTTCGAATTATTTTTTTCAGTGTTACGTGTACACTGCGGTTAGAGGTTGGCAGAAAAATACTCCAACGAAATTGAAATTACGATAAACGTAGTGAAATGATTACTTAGTGATAAATTATATAAATAGGTACATTAAAACAAACTGATAGTGCATTTTAATTCAAAAACCCAATTATACCTGATTTTATTATTTTATTTTATTTATCAATAAAAATACTTACCTCAAACATACAACAAGTCTTTCTTCTGGTTCAATTGGCCTTGTAAATCTTGAGTTTTTTATAGAAAGATATGGTTTTAATATATGTAACATATCCTGAAATTTCTTGTATGTTAAATGCAAATATCTAAAAAATCGTTCATCACCATATAACAAGTCTTAAAATCTCTCAGAATCTTCTTTTTCTTCAAATTTTGTTTTCTTCTTCCTCTGCCAATAAGCAGGCTATTACTATATTTTTTTCCATAGTGATTCCGAGCGATAAATGTCTTCAATCTAATCTATCTAATGTACCGTTTCACACCAGTAGTTGGAAAAAACTGCAAGAGTTGTTGGCAATGCAAAAGATTTGTGTACGGCGCGGACAGTACGTACGTGCAAATGTGCGAGGCCATCAGTAAAATTCGGCGCGTACGGTGCGTACGACGCATACTGCGCGGACAAATGTGCGTTCAGTTTTATAGGTGTCCTACTCTACGACAAAGGCGCGCGCGCACTTGCGCCGTTGCCTTTGAAGAACGCCGCGTGCCTCGTGTCGCTTGTTTATGGACGCCGATTAATTACTGGATCGATTACGTTCATTTTTTCTATATCGTCAGCAAAGGCGATGACAAATATGTGGTTTCATTTATTGCACATATGTGGGACCCCATTTTGTATACAAGTACGCTCTCCAGTAAAAACAAGTACTTAAAAACATAATACTTAAAAAGTCTAATTTTACCTGTTCAAAACAGCAATTAAGTTGACGGAGAAAGACGATATGAAGCTGGTCTTCCAAAGTCTATCAGGATTCCTCTCAATTCCTCTGATTGGAGCGTCGTCTTTAAATAAACCCAAAGCACAGAAAGTCATTTCCAACATAGTGTCGTGTGTGAAGTAAGAGACTACGTTCCTCCCACTGCCATTAACTGCGGCCTCGAAGTTTTCATACAGATCCTTTAGGACAGGGCCACCTAGATTTACATTAACCTGCAATTAAAAAAAATTGCTGGCAAGAGAATAAATAATGAAGCATCACAGAGATGACTATAGAAGTATAAGTGCGATTTGCTTTAGAGAGCATCAGTATAAAATGCACTTAAGGACTGATAAGTCAGTCCTTTAGTGCATTTTATCGCCGGGTTTCTATATTTAAGCACTCGTTTTTTTACGAGCCGTTTTGCAGTTAACGAAGTGCATGAAAACCCATTTTTGGAAACGAAATACCAGTTGAACTGTAAATTTTTTTTTGTTTTTTTTTTTTTGTTTTATTAAGGACAACAAACAGTTGTAATAAGGAACGTTTTCCCCCCAAAGGGAAGAAAACGATATATTTCATGTCTTGCCTAGGCTTAACCATAATGATATAACACTTACTGTATCTATCCATATATTACCCATACATTCATATAAATGCTTGCGTTCGTCTAGGTAGCGCCGTCTTGGGCGCTTCTCTGTCCGCGGGAGGCGGGGCGGTGAAGCGACGGCGCCCGCGTTCTCAGTACCTCTCACTAGTCGTCAAGAGCTTGTCAAGAGCTGGTCAAGCCTAGGCAAGACATGAAATATATCGTTTTCTTCCCTTTGGGGGCAAAACGTTCCTTATTTCATGGTCTGTGCCGTCGGCTTAACCATAATGAGAGGTTTTTAGTTTCTGACGACGCAGGATTAGCGTACTGTGAATAATATATAGTTTTAAAATAAAATGAACGTGTATGTAAATCAACTGTGTTTTTTATTAAAAATGTATCTAATCTAAAAATAATCTAATCTATCATACAATATAATCTATCTATCTAAAAAGATAGCTTTAAAATTAGAACAAACTAAGTCATTAACTGGATGAGCACCATGTCTTTTTAATTATCTCTTTAAAGTAGAACTTAAATACATTTTTATCAGATTTCCAATTTCCATTTTTAATGATTATATCTAAAGGAACATTATCCTCCTGTCTTGAGGAGGCTACGGCAGATCTTATACTTCCAGGCGAAAAATCAATACCAAGATGCTTTAATACAGATTTTACCCATCCTGCAATTGTGGCTCTAGTTGCAGACTTTACAATTCCGCGTGTAGATACAAACAAAGATGTCAATTTGTTTCTTGCCTGTCTTCTAGAGGCTGACAAATCAATCAGTCTTTTCGTCCAATATATGGGATCTAGAGACTTAATCGAACCTTTAGATAAATGCCAACCTAATTATCGATGATTAATCTTATCTGTTTTTGAACCATATACAGGCCAAATGGTAACGGAACCCTCACTCAGCTTTAGATGATCATCATCAATCCTTAGAAGAGTAAGATACGCCAGCAAAAGAATCAGTGCCACATAGCGGGATACTTCAAATAGACTATCTTATTAATAACTGAGGTTTTCATCCAAGCAATCAGCTGTTCGACATCCCAGATACATTTCTTCGACGATGAAGGATGAGAATTCTCTATTTCTCGAATAATATGTTTCACCAAAGGGTGACTGGAAATTTCTTCCCTTCTTAAGGGATCAGCCATAGTAGCTATAACAGATTTGTGTAATTTTATTGTTCTAGGTGCGAAGTGTTTTACTCTATGTAAAAAACTAAGATATTGAGCTACATCAGCTGAATCAGGTTTCTTCGGATCCAGGTTCATTTTATTACATCTCGTTACCCAAGCTTTCCATGATGCGGCGTACGTTTTTAAAGAAGAATTTCTCCAAGATCCTTTGAGTAATTCAACGTCTTCTTGGGCCCATGAAGATGTGATTTCTGACCACCCCGTATCAACCAGGCCTCCAAGCGTAGATTTCGCGCGTCCGGGAGAGGAAAGTTCTGTGTCGCGTCCGATAGATGATGCTGTAAATTTCGAATGCAAATCGGATGGTCCAGTGCTCTTCGTCTCATATCCGCCCTCCAAAAAACTCGTTCCCATCTTGGCGCAACTAGGATGTAAGTACCCCTTGCTTTGTTCAAGTGTGCCAGCACACGAGGCATCAGTCCTGGCGGTGGGAAAATCCAAGCTAGATCGAAGTCCCAGATTCTGCTGAAAGCATCTATAAAAAGAGCACCTCTGTCTCGAGATACATAAATCGGTACAACTTTCGAGAAGGCAGTGGCAAAGAGGTCGACCTGAGGAGTTCCCCATTTCTTGAATAGTAGGTCCGTCACTTTGTTCAAGAGATGCCAATCCGCCACGTGCTTCTGACGAGAAAAGCTGTCTGCCATCTCGTTGAAGACTCCCGGTATGTAGTAAGCAAAAATTTCGATTTCGTTCTCGTAGGCGAATTCCAGAATCTTTGACACTAGTTCTGTCAGTAGAACGGATTTGGTTCCACCTTGATTCCGTATGTAGGAAACCGCTGTTTTGTTGTCCGATTGAATTACTACGCGTTTCCCCCTTAATTGAGTTAGCGTCAAAAGTACTGCTAGATAAATTGCGTATAGCTCCTTGCGATTAATATGCCACAGAGTTTGATTGGTCTTCCAAAAGTCTTTTGTTGACCTGGGCACACCAACCCGTGTCCGAAGCATCTATTGTCACAAATATCGTTTCGAGGCTGACGAAGATTGGTCGATCTTTCTGAAGGTTTTCCAACCACCAAAAGCATTCCTGGAGTGCTTTCGGCGGGATAAGATGTTTGTGGTTCTTTTGATGTTGGAGTAAGTTTCTTGCTGCACGTTGCAGATGTCTCGAATGTAGTCTTCCTAGAGAAACTGTGAAAGATGCAAAAGCTAACTTTCTGACAAGTCTTTTTCCGCTGACCCAACTCCAGGTTCCCGAACTTGTTATTTGCTCTAGATCCTTCTTTAAAAACACGATCTTTCTGTCGGGTAAAAATGATTTGTTGTTCTGAGTATCCCACATTAATCCCAAGTATTCTAGGCAACGAGTTGGTGGATTCAGAGATTTTTTCATATTTAATATCCATCCGAGATCCTGCAAAAACCTAACTGTGAATTGGATATCTTTCTCTAATTCGTTCGGGTGTTGATTGGCCAAGAGAAAGTCGTCGAGGTAAACTATTAGTCTTATTCCTATCTCTCTGAGCTGGCCTGCCAGCCAGTTTGACACTCTTGCAAATGTAATGGGAGCTGTCGCTAGGTCGAAAGGTAGGCAACTGAACTGAAGTATCCTGTGACGATGAAATATTGCCAAGAACTTTCTGTGTTGCAGTTTTATTGGTAAGTGAAAATACGCCTGGGAAATATCTATTTTCGAGAGGTAGTTCCCTTCTTGGAGAAATTCTGGCACTCGAAAATGATTTAGGAGACGGAATTTCCTTGGTCGTAGAAACCTGTTTAACCCTCGAAGGTTTATAATAGGACGAAAACTGCTGTCTGGTTTTAAAACTGGAAACAGCTTGGATAGGTATCCTAGGGGTGAAAGACAGGGTTCCAAAATGTTCTGAGAAATCATGACCTCTATCTCTGCGTCCAGTCCCCTGGAAGCAAACTTCTCTAGGTAAACTCCTGTCAGAGGGTTAAAAGGAGGTTTTACCACGAAGGGGATAGAATATCCCTCTATTATTTTCAGAATCCCCGGAGGTGCCCCCATTTTTTGCCAGACGTTCACGAATTTTCTCAGTCTCCCCCCTTTGAAATCCTGCAAGTCAGGATTGTCTTGGTTTTTTAGAACTGGACTCGTTGTAGAATGAGGGTTTATCCTTGGAGCGAGCATTAAAACTTCGCTTTGGGGCTCTCTTAGATAATTCTAAGAGAGCCCCAAAGCGAAGCAAGGCTTCCAGGATTCCATTTTAGAACCTTTAAACTGCTGTGAGCGGGGTTTGAAAGTCGTCCTGGACGATTTATGGACTCTTTTTCGTTGTTCAAAACTTTAAGTTTCTTTTGGTTGAAATTTGGGCTTAAATGAGGAATATGATGTGGTGGAACCACGAAAAAATCCTTGAAACGAGGGTTGTTTTAAGAGCTCTGAAAATTTATTCTCATCGAAAAGGTGTGTTGAAGATGGCGGAATATCATTCAATAAAGTTGAAAGATAGACATCTTGCGGTAATAAGGCATTTCTTCTTTGCTCTATTGCCTCGACTTTGCGACCACAAACATACTGCATTACATCATCGGAAACACATTTGAAAGCTGAATTCGTGCCGTAAAGTGACTCTTTGAGATCCTGCTTCAGGGAAGGATGTTTGTTTGAAAGGTCTTTTACAACACTGGTGAGTGCCTCTCTCTGTAATAGTAAGCCATGCAGTATCGTACCAAAGGAAGCTTCCTGTTTTGTTAGAGATTCCAGAGAAGCGCTGGAATTATTAATCTTCATAAGGGCAGGATTCAGCTTTAAAGCACGGAACACTGGAAATGCTTGCGATTTCTTTTGCACTTCAGCGTACCGGATCTGGTTATAGGATAATTCTCCTAATCTTAGGCACTGATTACCTTGTGACTCAATATGAGGTTTTGGCGTAGGCATTGTTGGTTCTTGTTTCTTTGTTTGCGAAATAAAGTCACGATCGTCATCTTCTTCCTCTTATAATCGTAGATCTGGCCCCTTCCATTTAACAGTCTCCGACTTATGTAAGAACTGACTGTTTTGAAGCTCATCTTCAGAAGAAGCGTAGGATTCTTCTGGCTCGGACTCATTATCGGAGATGGGTTCAAATCGTTTCATAAAGTTGGAAAACATGTCCTTCATATCACCGAACTCTTGTTCCAACTTGTCCAATCTTGACAGCTTCTTTGACTTAGATGATGAAGAACGAACTGTCGATAACTCATCAGCATCGTCGCTGTCAGCAAGCTCTTTTGAAGCGTCTTTTCGACTTAGCAAGAGAGGCTTGAGTTCAGTAAGTGAGGCTACGATTAATTCATTTTGTACAGCAGAGCCTCTTATTCTAGCACCGATGGACGGTGGACCAATATTTCATAGCATTCAAGCATTTTAATTTTGATGTCTTTATATACTTTTTCCTGAAGCGAGGTACAATCTGGACAAAAAGCTCTAGCAAGCTCCACCGTAGGCAGACTGAATCTAATTTTGTTTAAGATCTGGGAATCAAAAACTTCACCCAATAGCTCCGCTCTAGAATGAGTAACGACTTTCCACTGGCACCATCCATCAGTTAGATACAATTCTGCCAACCTTTTCCCTCTCTCTAATATCTCCCCGTCTTCCGAACTATCAGGTTCCCATTCCAAGAGAGACTCTAATGTCACTGACTCTTTTGCGACTGCCATCTGCGACAAAAAATAAAAGAAGTTATTCAATTGTCTGCTCGAAACAAGCCACATTTGTACTTAAAATGAGCCGTCTAGCTGCTTAAATCGAGCCGTAAGTCCGCTAAAATCGGGCCGTCGGGCCGCTCAAATTGAGCCGTGAGTCCCCTCGAAACGAGCCGTTAGGCTCCTCAAATCGGGCCGTATGGCTGTTGCCTTGAGCCGTAAAACTGGTTTGAAGAAGTTACCCAGTATAAGGCAAAAAACATAAGTCATACCTCTCGTAACATTAAATTATGTAAGTAGGCACCCAAATACAGGTGTAACAATCCCACAGACGTGATTGTCGTATGGAGATTTCAGAAATAATTACGTAGATACACTTAAATCTACTACTTACAAAGTTACGAGAGGAGAACACTAGAAACAAATAGTATTTATTATAAATATTGAAGCAAACTTACCATTAAGGTAGAATTTTTATTACACACACACAATATTCACACAGCAACAACAACGATTCGACTAAATATTATACTTTAACAAATAGTCTCGAACGACACGCGTCGTTAATATTTTTATTTATTAAAATGACGTAGGTACGTGTATTCACATGGATAGAAAAAGCCATAGAATTATAAAGCGTATTGAGAATGCGGGCGCCGTCGCTTCACCGCCCCGCCTCCCGCGGAGGGAGAAGCGCCCACGAGCCCACGACGGCGCTACCTAGACGAACGCAAGCATTCATTTGAATGTGTGGGTAATATATGGCTAGATACAGTAAGTGTTATCTCACTATGGTCAAGCCGACGGCACAGACCATGAAATAAAAATTACAATTTAAATCTGTTATCCACAAAAATACCGTAGTAATTAAATAATTATGTATATGAACCGTTTAAGGTTTTTTTTTACAAAATTATGTGTTTGACATTGTCCATATGAACGTAAACAATGTATGTTTTATTTAGCGCATTTGTAATACTTATAATGTATAAATTTTAGCTTTCTGCACTCCTCCGGGTGCCATATGCTTAAAAAGAGGTTAAAAGTTTTCACGTAATAATAAATATTTAGTATAAAAATCTTACCCAAGAACCGTATCCATTACGATAGTAATGGCGTACGTCATCCCTGTACTCTAAAACAACAAGATCCTGGTCTGAGAAGACGGAGCACCAAGGCGACTGCTTGGTGGGAGTCCAGGAACGGTAGAAGCGACAGATCTCATACAACGAGTATATGTCTTCCGGCGACAACTGGGTCTCTATGCCTAGGCGCTCCTGGACATTATTCTTGACCTGTGGTTGGCATTAGATTTTTATTTTTTAATTTTTTTTTATAGTATAGGGTGAAAAACGAGCACACAGCCCACCTGATGTTAAGTGGTTGCTGTGACTTATAGAAATCTACATTTATGCTCAATTAATAATCAAAATGCAGATGCGTAGTTAACCCTGAGAACTAAGATGGAATACCTCTTTTCCAGTAAAAAGGGTCTCCGGTTCTCAACACTCAGCATACGAAACACAGCAGTGTCAAGCTGCCATTTTACGCTGGTATTCTGTGCGAGTGTGGTCCTTCCTCGGTCGAGCCGACCTATTCGTGCTACAACTATAATACTAATATAGCTGCAGCATAGCTCTACCACGTAAAAAATTTAATTATTCTTTAATTATAACATTCATGTCACAAGAAATATACTTACACCACTTGTACCATATACATAATCAAGTGATGACCCATAGTGGCATTGCAATTTAAAAGAGTTTTTATACTAAATACTCACTACTGAATATTGACTTCTAAATATTAAGTACTACTAACTAATAAACAAGTGGGTGCGGGAAGTAAAGACTGTGTAAGAACCTCCCAAGGAAGAGGAGTTATAGCCGAAATAAGAATTTTAAATTATTTGTATTTTGGCCATTTCGACCCCCTAGGATTGTAATGAGAACTTTTTGCCACTATTTATTTTTAGACCCTGTTTTCAGCAGTGCTGTGAGGCCGTACTTAGGTTCTAACCTTACTTTACTTTTTTATATTATAATGTTATAGAAATTAACTTTCTCCACTTCTAGTACTACATTTTATCCCGAGAGTATTGTAAGAGGAGACAGAGGGAAAAGAAACAGAAGTTGGAAAGCAACATCTTCCTGATTACAATTCAAAATGATAAACTACAGTTGCCAATGTGAGGTATAAAAGCTGTTTCTTTACTATTTTAATATTGTTTATAAATTAAATTGTGTATTACCAAGTTTGAAGAGTCAGAGCCTCTCTCAGATAAATAAGCACTTAGTCGAGACCATACTATTTATACAAATTGTGAAGTTTGCGATAAAACTTGTGACTGTTTTTGCACATCGGCCTTAGTCCACACTGCTCCAATGCGTGTCTGTAAATTGCTTAAATTGCTCGCGTACTATGAAATTACCAGTAAGCGATCACTTATAACGGTCTCTAATGATAACAATGTTTGATGGAGGTGACATCACTTGGTAAACAGACTCACCATCTGGAATTCATCTGTGCGGAAGTATGCGTCCAGTTCCTCCACCAGTTTCTGGCCACCTTTAACTTCCACTTGATATTTGTCGCAATTTTCATATGGCTGTAAGGTAATATCAATTAATTAAAAAACTACTGTCAAATATCCATTTCTTTACTAATTGTTAGTTCAATTTTTCTTAAAAAAAAACTACTGAGTCTTTTTTTATAAAAACTTAATCACGTTTTAGTTTTTCTGAACCCGTAGCATTTTGAACAGGTACTCTAAGTTCACTAAACCAATAGATACACTAAACATCTACACTACATCTAACACTTACACGAATGACATCATCTCTTTCCCAAGGTCCGTCAACGGTGAGGTTCAAATCGGTTCCTTCCGCAAGACCATGAACAAACGCCATTCCACTGGCAACGGTACGCTGTTCGTTGGTGCTTCTAAAGTAGTATTTATCGACAGATCCTCGCAGCAGTTCACGGTATTTTTCTCTAAGTCGTTTACCTATATCATATAGTTCTTCATAACCTGTTCCTGTAAGGAACGCTTGTGATTCTTCAAGTGTTTCGTTCCACTTCCATTTTTTTAATTCTTCAATATCCTGAAATAATTATAATATACTGTTCATACGTGGTAGAGCCATGCTGCAGCTGCATTATGGTTGTAACACGAATGGGTCGGCTTAACTGGGGCACGACCACGCTTTCAAAGAGCAGAAGTGTAAAATGGCATCTCAGTACTACTTTCGTATGGTAAGTGTTCCGCACCGGAGACCCTTTTTACTGTGAACGAAGCATTTCATCTTAATCCTCAGGGTGACAAGGCATTTTGATTCATTTCAAGGATATATGTATGTATCTACGGCCATAGCAGTCACTTACGTTTTATTCTATAAAAACAAGCCTATGTATATGTTTCTCTGTGTGGCTTTGTAATGAACAGAACCAGTAGTAAGTTGAAGTGACAACAGGCCGGCCATATAGCTCGAAGAGTTGAGAGCCGATGGGGAAGAAATTTTATCGAGTGGTATCTCGTACCGGTAAGGAAAGTGTGGGGCGGCACCCAACAAGATGGAGTGACAAACCAAAACAGTAAACCAAATAGTAAGGCATTTGAATACTGTCGTGGACTAGTCCTTACATAAGCATTATATTAATAAAGCAACATATTATAAATAATAATAATAATAAAGTTAACAACTCGGTGTTAACAGCTGAATAAATTAGTTACCTGCGAGCACATCCGACTTCTGCCCCTCGCAAAGCTCTGAATGATCACATCCTTTAAGCCAGCGACGGCTTTGATGTCGGTTGTGACCCTGGAGGTGGGGTTGCGGTTACCGTGCCTGTGTAGCGACCACATACTTATCGCCTGACAACCTGAATCAACAATAATGCTTGAGTGATGGATACAATTAAATTCGAAATATCAGTAACAATATAGAAGAACCGACATTCCGGGAAGAAATTTTCTTAAGTTTTAGCTTCGTTTAGATGGAGTGATGACTTAATAAGACATGCGGTAAGTCTATGGATGAGTATGGTTTAGGACCGCTTTTTGAGGTGTTTCTTGGGGGAGGCGGAGGCATAGGAGGATTCTTAGTCAAGAATCCAAGGATATATCTATATGTCTTTGGACCACAGTATCAAATAGACTGTGTGCTTGTTTGTCAATTTTACCTCTATGAAAAGAGGTACAAAATGCCGTAAGTATCCTCCGCCATATTTACTAAAAACGTCCACCATGGTCGAGAAACACGAAGATAGCAAGGCTAAATCTAGATTTCTAAGATTTGTATGAAATAGAAGTAGCAAAGAGTTCGAATGATCACTATGCATTAAGGTAATAATTTCTTGTATTTCCGCGAATAATGTACATTAAATAGTTAATACTAGTTTATCGGATCTTATTTAATTTTATTCAACTTATTTAAATTTTAATAAATATAAATCTAAATTGGGCAACGGTTGCAAAATCAAAAAAATAAATTGTTTAATGTGAAAATTGAATTTTATGATGCAGAGGTATTCCAGCTCTGCAAAAATAAAAAGGGCTAAAATTATTCTTATATTTATTGACATTTCAATGATAATCACATATTACAAGATACACAAAATATACTGCGAAACAATATTGTAAGGCCGTTGAAACAGAACTTTTTTAATCGAAATCAATAAAAATCTTATTGAAAGTCACTCTTTTGCTTAATTTGCCACTGGTTCGAAAGAAAACCTCTGTCCTAGAAAGAACCAGCATAACTTACAATTATGTAAGTTCATCAACACAAAAAAAATTAGAAATAGCTTTGTCGAGATCACCGCATTACCAGTGGTTATTATCATCCATAAATTCCTTAATATTATAATAACCTTTTTGTACAAACTTAATTTAATAAAGTTTTTTATTGCATGCTTAAAACGATGCATACTTGTAACAACATATTATAAAACTGTACGGAGGACCGCAACCTCTGTTGTAACGTCTTCTATACAGTTCATGCATTGACGACTTGATAGGTAAATAATAAAACTCTTACCCTCTGGATCCGGATAATCCCTGATATCTCCCCGTATTGTATCATACGGGGTAATGGTTGAGTACATTGGGTACGGACAAAGAGCGTTCCAGTAACATGACTTCTCTGCTGAAGCCCAAGCAACTACAGCCAAGCACAACAATCTTCGGATCATCGTCTTCTTCTTCCGTACAAATCTATATCTATATCATAATCTATGTTTTTATAGAATTTACTTATCTAAATACTCATACTATATTATAAGGATTGGTTCACACAGTTAAGGATAGCACGATAAATAATTTTAATTTTGACAGAGTATTTTTTTGTAAATAAAAATTTGCCTCCTTTTTGAACTTTCGAAAAATAATAAAAAATTAAATAAGAATATATTTGCCTACTCGAATCATAAACCGATTGTGAATATTGTCAATGGAAACTAGCCTATTGTCCCAATGTTTTTCTTTTCCAAAACTGAAGTTACAAACAATCTTACAGTCTCTTTGATAGTAATCCGTTGCTGCTGCAGCCCATAGACACCTGCTACCAACTTATAACAATGCAGGCTACTAATCACTAATCGTCGTCACACTGAGTACTTGACATTTCAAGTACTCAGTGTGACTGTGAAACATTTCAAGTACTCAGTGTGAATGTGTGACTGTGACTGTGAAAAAAGAATGCCATAAAATAAATTAGTCTCTCTAAACAATAGGCGGCAGAAATAGGTAAGAGGGTGTTTCTTTATAGTTTGAAGGTAACAAATGAGCACACAGTCCACCTGAACATAAGTGGATGCTGTCGTCCATGTACTCATACAACTATCCTCTAATAAGAATCAAAATACAGCGTTGTTACTTCTACTAAGATAGAATGCGTCGTTCCAGTAAATAACGTTTCCGGTTCTCTACATTTTTATTACGTAACTAACACTGCACTTGTTAAGTACTTCGCATAGATGGCGCTATTTTAAAACTTACTCAGACAGCTGGCTAAGCAATACACTGACCTAAAAGCGTGTATAATTGCACAAATTGCACATTTTAAACAAATTTGACAAAAACGCGGATCACTACACACTCATCCAACGCGGATGTGAAAGTACAACTGCGGCAGATTTGCACGAGTCATTCGATTTTGTTTTTATCAAAATACGTAATAACATGCTTTAATGCTAGTTGCCGTTTTTGTTATACCACTGATTAGTTTAGTGACTTAAAATTTTTGCAGATCATTGAAAATAATGTCATTCAAAATACATTTCTTACTCTTCGTTCCTCTTCCAAATTTATTCAACTCGCAAAATATTGCACCAGACCGAATTTCGGTCACGGCGGTCTTTCACGATGGAGGCTAGTTCTTTACGGAGAACAGGCTAATAGAGCACCAGTGTATGCCTACAAGCTCACTCTCTGTTCTTTCAATGTTATTCTTTGTTAGGACGGCAACCCGACACGAGCGGAAAGAGATCAGGCGCAGTACGGCTTTACGTTTTTTCTGAGGCATACTGGTTACGGGCTGCTATTGAGAAATTCTTGACAGAAGAGTCCAACACCTGATTTGGACCCAAATAAGAATTCGCGAAGCCGTTCCGGGCTCCCGGGACCAGGTGGCCCGGTAAGGTTTTGAGAACCCGGGACCATATGATCAGAAATCGCGTATATGACAACAACACCAACTAGCAATATACTAAAGTAAATGTCAAACATACTCAGGGAGTTAAATAATTTTCTGTTACAGCTGTTTGTTTGTCATTTTAAATAGTTGAATCATTTTAGCTTTTTAATTCAAGGTGTGCAATCAATCACGCTTCTTTATTCCTTTATAAATACAGTTCTTTGCGTTTAACGTTATCTGGAAAAAATCACTTTTAAGCGATAAGTCCGCCTATTGTAGGTATAAGTGTTCATTTCAATTACGTACATATTTAGAATAAAGGATATTTCTTACAAAAGTAACGGTGAAAAACGAGCATACAGTCCGCTTCATGATAAGTGGATGCTGTGACTCATCGACAACTGCATCTATCCTCGATTAAGAATTAAAATGCAGATGCTTTGCAAGCTCCTGAGAGCTAATATGAAATGAGCCGTTACCATTAAACAGAGGACAGAGACAGTAATTGTTTATTTTTTGTGAGTAAAATAAAAATTTATAAAATATATTGTATCGTTGTGTACATAACTTTATCAATTGAAACTCGCCAATAAAATCGCACTACGTTGTGACGTTTTTGTACACGCCTTCGATTCGTGCTCTCGTTGTTAGAAATTATTTGCCCGCTTTAAGTAAATATAGATCTTTACATATTATGCAAAATAATGACGTTATTGTACGGTACGGTTTCTTTACTCGAGTGGTTATGGTACGCACATAATACCGGAAATTCTTGAAAGAAATTTATTTATTTAATCTTTATAACATTCCCTAGTTAAAAAATAATACAAAGGGCGGACTAAAAGGCATTCTCTACCATTCAACCCATGGAGTGGTGAGAGTTTGACGGGGGTGTAGTAGTGTAGTTTAAAATAAAAATAAAAAAGTTAATTAAAACAATTAAACAAAATTATACTGTCGACGCACGATAAATAAACAATACTCATTTTGAACAAGGGTGACAAACGAGCACACAATCCACCTGATGGTAAGTGGATGCTGTGGCCCATAGACATCTACATTTATCCCCGAACAAGAACCAACATACAGATGGGTTGTCACCCCTGACGACTAAGACGGAATGACGCGTTTCCAGTAAAAAGGGTCTCCGGTTCTCTACACTCACGATACGAAACACAGCAGCATGAAGCTGCTATTTTACGCTGGTATTCTGTGAGAGCGTGGTCCTTCCCTGATCAAGCCGACCCATTCGTGGCACAACCATAACATAGCTGCAACGTGGCTCTACCACGTAAAAAACTAATATAACATATACATACATAAATACAAATTTATTTAATTAACCGTATACTGGCGGTGTAAGAATATCCACTACACCATACTGTTCCGTGGGGACAGAGGGAAATTGAAACAGGTGATGGGCAGCAGCATCTTCCTGAAGATAACTCAAAATACTAATAAAAAACTGCGGTGGAGGAACCGCTCACCAATCGTGTCAACTATGACAAAATTCCCCCTATGAGGCAATCTATGCGGCCATGTTCAGCCGTGGTTTTTTTATAGACTGTAATGGATGGATGGAATGTAATATATGAATTTACTATACATATTTGTAAATATGTATATTATATTTTATATACCTACAATATATAATACATACAAATAACTGTGATTAAATACGTCTGTTAAACAATACAAAATATGATATACTTGGATGATTCATGTAAGAATTTATCGTTATCTTTAATAGATTACCATGAATGAAATCATAAATGAAATTATTTATAATATATTTAGTTTTTTTATAAAAAAAACATTTTAGTCATATAATGGCGGCGTTAGAGCTTAATTTTTCTTGTCTATCGATACCGTTACAAAATGCGATTAAATGAGGCAAAGAAAATTACATCCATTTCCATAAAAAAAAATAACTGCCTCAAATTCGCAAAACTAAAATATGTCTTTTCATCTAATTACTCAGAGGTGACAACGCATCTGCATTCTGATATTTAACTGCAACTACCATTATGTGGACTATGTGCATGTTTGTCATCCTTAACACTTTAATAATTCAAATTCAAATTGTTTATTGCATGACACATTACAAATTTCAGATGTTACATTTGATAGGTATACATGTGACGCCCTGCAAGGGCACAGCAACACTAGAGGACTAACTATTTTTGTATAATCTAACTTTTAAACATAAATTATATAATATCATATCGTCAACATTCAATGTTATTCAATAATGGATCATGAAGGAATGATCACAGTGAAAGAAGCGTCTTGTGTACCTTTCGTCAAGTCAGAACGCATGTTACGAGAGAAAATATTTGTATGATTCGATGGCTGTGTCCGTTTTCAGTTTTTTCTCCATGTCATCAAATTCATAGGAAGTTTTTTTTTTTTATAAAACTGATTAGAAAAACGAACTTACAGAACACGTAATGGTCACTTTCAAATAAAGAAGACAAAGATGCGTTGATTTTAACTAACCTAGCAACCTATTTTTGCTTTATTTGTGACTGCGATTAATATCACGTTTATTTAAGATCACGTTAGTGAAAAAATAACTGTAGAATTGAGAAACTTGTGGTCACAATACCTAATGATATGATTTAGTGTCGATTTTCCTCATTTTCATAAATTTGTCAGTTACAACTGTGCTAATTATTATGGATATTTTTTATATTTCCCGGGGCTGGTATGACACCTCGCCCCTGTCGCCCCGTGCCTGCTTGACGTTGAGTTTCGGGACACGTTGCATAGAGATATTATTTTTAATAAAGTAAAGAAATCCCATTAAATGTGGATGTTGTTAGCAGCTCTAAGAGACTCTACGAGACTTGATAGTTGGCAGTATAATCATCTCGTTTACGTCTGAGTTAAATTATGACCGGTGACGGAAGCAACGTCAAATGTATGAGACGTCGTTATTGTGATCACTAACCATCAAGCGTGCAGATGTATCTAATCTACCTACAACGGAGAGGCCCATTCAGGGAAGGGGCATTTAACACTGGTCTTTCGAGTACTACGAGTAATAAAGAATGAAGAGAAAAAGATGATCGAGACTAAGGGCACTGACCAGTACAGTAACACATTATTCGTACGTTATCAATTACATTCCGATTTATTGTATACTTCAATTTTTTATCTATTATGATATCGTCTTATTTGATACGGTGCATTTCTTGAATGTGTGGCAAAGGGTGTGTGTATGACGTAACAGTACGTGAACAAAATCGTTCGAGTTTCGCGTTGCTCCGAATTTTGAATTGGGAAGATAATTTCTCAGTAGTCTTACCGTTAAAACTATAATCCTTATTTCTTTAGTAATGGACTAGGACAATTGTAATTTTGCCAGTGTGCGGTGAAACATACATATTTCAAAAAGGAAAAAAAACTGTAATATATATATATATATATATATATATATATATATTTATACTTAATAATCTTTCTGTATTATCGTAATCTATCATCTTCAACCATTTGAAGACATTTATTTTACAAGAGTTTTTTTTTGTTTGTGAGAAGGGATTTAAACTTTTA